CACTCACTGAATAAATTCCCTGAGCCATTGTGAGAATTCTACTGTTGATACTCAGATTCAACTCATCAGCGTCGCTTCTCTCTATGCCAAACACCTTTCGCTGCTGAGTAGATAGCTGCAAAAGGTACTTCTAGATCTCTGCTGCTCGTGTAAAGCTAGTCAGTCATTGACAGACCCTTGGACCCTCCTCCCTCTCTTTAATCTGGGTGAGGCAGTCTCGTCTGATTGGCACCTCTCCACGGCAATGCAACTGAGATTAAGACCTAAATGAGATTTGGTCAGGGGGGAGCTGATCAATCTGTGGTGCTGTGTGTTGCTTAAACACAGTGTTTTTTAAATAAATATGTCATGAAAATAATTAAACACTTTTTTTTAAAATATCTACTTCTTACAATATTCCAGCCACCACTTCACACTATCTCCTTTGGCTGCGAAATTGGGAAAGATCCTGGTTGTAGATTTCTCCAAGACCATGTGGCCAAGAGAAGATGCAGTATGGCTGGGTACGGCTTGGGTCATTCTGTGCAATGTGCTTATCCCACGGCTGCACAGCTAAGAACTCACTCAATGAGGTTTGAATATCGCTTTAAGATGGGAATCGAACTTGCTGCCCCTGAGGGTTTTGTGGGAAGAGACAATGACAATAAAACTGCCACCAAACTCTTTCTAAACAATACAAGTTGACAGGAAAATAGTGCAGAAAAGCCAAATTGGGAAGTATTAGGTGAGAAAATGTCAATCTAATAATAAGTTCCCATCCTGTACAAGACCCACAAAAGTGTGTGCCTGATTTTTGAAACAAAGGTGGTGAAGGAAATGCCATAGAGCTGGACTGAAAACGATGCTTGTGGGAGAGACTGAAACTAAACCTACATTATTTTAACTAATATGGAGGAATTCTGCCCATCTATGATAGCTTTGAGGGTAAGTACCAATTTGCTATAGCCTTAATGAATGAGCTACCGTTGAACTGTACAGTCGCTGATAGGATTCGGTCAGTGTGGGCCGTACAGTACATGCTTAACTTTGACTTCCTTTTTCCAAGTCAAACATAAATAAAACAATTCAGGCTGTTGATATTGGATCTTGGGGTGAAAAATGTAACAATGCATTTCAGATTCAATGTGAATCATCACACTGAATGTATTATGTAATGCTAAATCACTGTGCCATATCTTATTTGATTGTGGAATTACCGTGGACTTTTAGCCGTATAATCACAGAACACTTGAAAAATATGCAACGAGAAATTAGTGCTTGACTTTGAAACATTAAACACAAACAGTGCCATCATTTAGTGGCAAGAGAGATATCAACATAGTGTTTGGATTTTACATCTTAAACACTTTTACATAAGTCTCCACTTCAAGGTGATGGACAGAAATCATGCAAGCAGGTGAAAGATGCCTCAAACAACTGTGGCAGGGTTAAAGTAGCATTATTTTAAACAATTAATTTTGGTGTAAAATGTGCAGTGTGTATTAGTTAAGGGATTGAAGTATTATTTTTCTGCGCACTATCAGGTAAAGTCCTGTTTTTAATTTGTTTTCTCATTAATTGATTAAAAAAAGTTTTAAGAATTATCAACTGATGAACATTCATTCATTTATATTTAATGTTCATCACACCATCTAGCATCCATTCATTGGCTGAATGGTAGAGTAAATCCAAAATACCTAATCTTTTGGAAATTAATAAGTCACCATGTGTAACCTCAGTTTATTTTTAGAATTCAGTAGTTTCTTTGTGCATTTCTTTATGGAATAAGCAGTTAAATTAGCTCAAAGTACTCAAAATGTTCCTCTTTTCATTTGATGTTTCGCCATTGTGTTCCTTTGAAAATGTCCTATAGGGATTCTCCTCTGTTGATCAAGCAAGCTTCCAATGTCAATCAGTATTGACCTGGGCAGCCTAATCATGTGGTTGGCAGCCAAGTACATTGGAATGGGACAGAAAAGTACATAATAGGGACTGGAATGACAATGACAGCAGCCTTACAGCTCCATGGATGGAAGCCAAACTCAGTAAATTTAATGCTAATTTGAAGCTGGCCAATTTAATTGCAGCCGTTCACCTGACGACATTAATCTTGGCCTCAGTGCTGATCATTGCCTTTACTGTTGTTAATTGCACTGGAGTTGTGACTCATGCTTTCAAAGGCACTTGACAGTACGTTGGCTTGTACTGTCCTTTGCTGTACAAAGGTTTTGGTTTCATTGGAGGATGAAGGAAAGAGTAGACAGCGAATGCTTACATTTCTATATTGTATCTGGCTTTTGTTGCTCTAGTGCACATCAAACACACATTTACATTTGGAAAGTCCACTGTGTATGTATATTTAGGCAATAGTAGACAAGAAGGTGTCTGTTTATTGGGTTTGTTGGTGAGCATTCATCAATTCTTTTTGCTACCAAATATTGCTATATAAATGTAAATTTGTTGGTTGTTACGGCTCTTCACTATTCCATCCTCAAACCAGCAGAGCTGGTATAGAACTGTGCTAATGCCAAGCTGCATTATTATTAGGGACTGAATGTAGATGACCAGGATCTTCCTTCAGACTAGCTCCATATCAATGTGTATCTGAATCCAGCAGAACTACATCAAATTCCTCTGGATAAGATTGCACTGGCCCATATTATAAAACTGCAATGATCCAAAACCATTTCCCATTCACCCCCTTGATTAGGAATACAATTGAAAAAAATACACCCATTCACTCCCACTGCATAGGGATACCCTCTACTTCCCATTCACTCTTGCATAGAATTACAATGGATCATCGTGTGTACTACTGTACTTGCCAGAGGGCTTGAAAAGTCTGAAACAACGTCTTTATAATCTTGAAAAACGCTTTTGATTAAGAAGCTGAATGCCATTGTTGGTTGATTCCCACTCAAAGCACTGCTCACTCCCACTGTCTACAATTCCAATGGCCCAAAGCACTTACTATTCACTCTCACTGCATAAAGAAATATTGATTCTAGCACAGCCGAGATATTGGCTAATTGGAATATGCTACGCTTATGCCAAATATCTCTTAGAGTGACAGCATATGTTTCATATAAAGCTGTTGTTAAATATTTGTTAGAGTTTTGTTTGCAATGAGAATTTAGGATCACTGTTTAAGCGAGATGAGTGACAAGAATCAGCAAGTTGGCTTTTTGTTTTACAAATGGGAATTGATAAAATGTGTCATGAAAAGCACAGCGTTTTCAGGTAAATCATTTAAATTGATCAGCATTCAACCCACAAACAAATCATTTTCCCCACTGGCTAAAGTTGCAAACCAGACAAAGCTGAATACGGGCCAGTGACCAGGCCTCTTGTTTCAGTGCTATTTTGCTTCAGTGAGAGTGACCGACAACTCCAAGCAACAACAACAACCAGATTACATTTGTATAGCACCTTTCACATCAGGAGGACGTTACATTGAGTCCTTAAACATCACTAAAGTCTCTAACGTAAGGAAAGCTCTTATTACACTTGAATAAATGGGACTTTTTTTTGCATTTCTCAAAAATGTGGTGCCAATGGAGGAAGAAAAATGTTGCAATAGCGCCATCTGTATTTGGAGGGTTTAAATAAAATGTTTTGATACTCTCCAAATGTTGGGGTTTTAAAAAGAAACGGCAGAGGGAATCACAAAAAGAAGCAGCAACACCTTTGCATTTGATCTTGGAGGTGTCTTCAAACTCAACTCACCTCTCCCAAGGTGAAGGATGGCTGTACGGAAGGCCCTATGGTTTAGCTATAAGGACGTATGTAGGTGACAGTTTAGAACTTGCTATAGGTTCAGATCTTCCACCAAAACGGCCTCTTCTCTAGTCAGTGCACTTATTCAATGGGTTCTTCTGCATGGGGGAATTGTTTAAAGACATGCTGTCAAAACAGGGAGAATTCACCTGGGTTTATGTTTGTAACACTTAGAGTTGGTCCCCCAAGTCTCTTAACCTCAGTGGGATTGTTAATTTCTTGCCTCCTGCATTCTACACAGCTAATGCCATAGCAGGATTTACAGATCTTGATAGGCTTCCTTATCTTCCTGTGGCCCCAAACCCTCTACATGGTCCTAACCTGAAGACCACTGTTTTAAACTTCGCGATCATGCAGAATTGTGGAATATTCGTACATTGAGTCTTCACGTGGAAGCTGACATTCCACTGTGTCTTTTTAAAGCACTGTGGAAAACCGGCTTCCAAATCCAAGACTTGAACTTGAAGATTTTCCACAATCCTGCACCATCTTAAGGATTTCAGACTCCCTGCGATTCTGTGCCAACCCAATGCTGGAGTAGAATCGGGTATCTGTATTTATATAAAAAAAAGGGTGGCCTGACTTGTGAGCTTGAAGATACACATCAAGAGTGATGCAGACATAGTTCTTCCAGTCACCTCCCAAGACTGTTGTATCCAGGGTTGTGAATGCTGCACACGAGTGTTTCTTATTGCAGAGGTGCACGAGAATGATGCCTCTGCATCTTTAGTAAAAAATAACTTTTTGTTTTTACATTTGTATCTACTGCTTATGCTTTGTGTTTTACAGAGACAACCTCAGCCCATGCTACCATCTGTCCCTTCCCTTATACTGGATCTCAATAATGGTGAAATAGAGCCTTCAGTAGGTCACGTCAAGGTATATTATGTCTTAGTAATCTGGGTAAGAGCACAATAGCCCCTCCTTGACCCACTGACACATTTCCATCACGATTGACGCTTTGACTCTTCAGTGAACAAAATACCACAATCCTGTGTACTTCGGCCCCTACATATGCAAGCATGGTTTTGGAGGGTAGGTCCATCTCTTTTGATGCTTGTCCTAGACCTCTTGGTCCTTAGGTCCATAGATCTCTGTGTGCTGTATTTGAGCTGGATTCACTTCCACAAATTGAAGAAACCAAAGCTGTAAACACAAACATCACTCATCTCCGAAAGTCCTGCAGTGACTGAGGCCACTGTTTCCTCTTCTAGACATCTCCATTGGGATCTCAGGCCAGTGTTTTAGAACTGAGGGTGGTCCATGTCATCGAGCCAGGAGGCAGGGCTCGTTGGAAAGTCTGGGTAGCCAGCGCTGCTTCCTGTAGAGATGTCAGAGGTGGGCCCTCCCGTCATCATTCTCAGGGTGTGACTCATCCCCTGTCCTCCTTGTGCTAGAATCCCCAAGTTATTGTCAATGTAGCCCAAACTGTTCATTAAGGGCGTGTGAGCGGGAATAGAGGCTATGGACGATGGAGACTGAGGGATTCCGTAGGGGCTGCTCGCTCTCAGATCGTGGTACTGCTGTCCTGTGCCGTCCACAGTGAACCCTCCGTTAAGTAAAGGTCTGCCTGTGATGTCGCTCACCCCGCTGTAGATCCCATTAGTGTGGCCGAGTTCTGGGAGTATCTGATCATCTGTGACGTGTGGCAGAAAACAAATAATGAATACTTTGAGCTGAAAATGTACTGGCCCAAAAAAAACTAGCGTAGAAGTGACGGAAATTCTGTGGCTTCTATTTCTGATCAGCTGATTTATTTAAATTTATTTATTTGTTTGTTTGTTTATTTCTTTATTTATACTCAATCCACCACTGTTTGTGGAAATGGTTGGACCCAATTAGCTGGACACAGATTTAAAGTAATTGGCAAAAGAACCAGATGGGAGACCAGGAAAATTTCTTTCTTATGCAGAGAGTTGTTACGTTTTGGAATGCATTGGTGGAAGGGTGATGGAAGCAGATTTGATAGTGGCTTTCAAAAGGGAATTGGATAGGTATTTGAAAAGGAAAAATTTACATGCCTGTGGGGTAAGAGCGGCGGGGAGGGACTAGTTGGACAGCTCTTACAAAGACCCGGCATGGGCATGATGGGCCGAATGGCCTCCTTCTGTGCAGTAAGATTCTATGATTTGGTATCTGGTTTGAAATCACAGACAAGATTATGATGAGGGGGCAGCAAGCTCACCTCTGAAGCTTAGTTCGCTGTCACTCAGGCCCCCGTCCTCCACCGAGCTTTCCTTCCCACTTTTTGTGCCCCCGCGACTTCTCTTCATGGTCTTGTAGTACTGCCCCCAGCGGTGTCGCCCGGCGTCTTTCTTCAACCGCTTCTCCTTTGCTCTTCTGTTCTGGAACCAAACCTGGAAGATTTTCAATTCAATCAAAGGAATATCGTTTGAAGAATTTTAACGATTCATTAGAGTGTCAGTTTAGTGAGTTCAAGTCCCGATGTGGAATTTGAACCCACAACCTTCCAGCTCAGTTGCGAGAGGGCTACCCTGAGCCAGGCTGACACACAGAACATAATACCAGTTGGACCAGATGGCCTGCTCCATAGAACCAATAACAGTTGATCATGAGGCAGGATTCAAAGCTGCTGTGCTGTCCAAGGATGGAGGAAATGTGGCAACAGAGAAAAATGAACTGGGATATCTGAGAGATTCAGGGAAAATAGTTTCAAAGTTAACCTGATTTTTGGTGTATTGCTACACATAGGTCACTGCGTGATGTTTCAGGTTTTTGTCTTGGAATATACATCATCCGAAGCAGTAGTATTCTCCCAAAAGCAAGTCATTTACAATGCATGGCAAAGGTCCAGGCTCGCACCCACAAGCAATTACATTTCAGCACCAGGGAACACTTCAAAGGATGCTATCAATCTATTGCAAAGAACGGAGAGCCCATAAGCTTTCAGAATTCATATCACGTCTTACAAATCTATTGCAACTCTTTCAAGAGATAACTAAATTAGCGCAGAAGGAATATCCCACAGATATAGGGGGTGCAAATTGCAATTTTCTTGACAGAAGCTCCCAGTTTAAAATTTAAAATGTGTCGTAGAGTGAAAATCGCAATATTTAAGCGATGCAATGACTAACATCCTAGAGCCCAAGTTTGATTTTCGGAAGATAATCTTTCTGGAAGCAGTGGGTTAGAAACTATCCTTTTACCCTTTTGGACCTGCCTTCAGATACAATTCTGACAATATCAGTCTCCTTTGCCTCGAACCATCCTAAGTGCAATGGTTTGGCCTGTCTCCAATTAGTATCTTGGCATGGTTCCACAGCACAAAAATGTCTCAAATATAACAGAACTCAGCAGCCCACAGCATAACTGTCATTCCAGGCAATGAAGGAGTCCAGTGATTGATCCCATCTCCCCGTTATGGATCATGACTGTTGTGAGGTTACGGGTCATTACCATTGTGGGGTCACAGGTCATTGGCATTACTAGTGAGATGATGGAAGCAGAAAGTTGACTCTTTCAAAAGCAAATTAGATGGATTTTTTTTAGGAAATATTATTGTGGGATAAAGTATGTAGTTTGGGACATGACATGGGCATGTGACTGCTAGGATAGTGGAAGGCGAACTGGATGGACCTCAGTCTTCTTTTCACTAGCAATTCTTATTTTCTCATGTTCTTATGAGATTATAGAATTTAAAATTTTTTTTTACAATTGGCTGCCGCATTTCGCCCACAAAATATACAATCAATTCATTTTACAGTATATTCTTTGAGACATGATAAGGCGCTATATCAAATGCAAGGATTTATTATTATTACAGGTCATGCCATTGCGAGGTCATAGCTCATTGCCATTGTGGGATCAGTTGATGAATAAGTTCCACTCAGGAAACAAATGCTACATTACCCATTGATTTGGAAAATATACCATGTAATCCCTTCATTAGTGAAGGAGTTAAAGTAAATTGGGAGCATTAGAAAAAAGAGGCTACATCTTCTTTTACCTGCACAACCCTCATGTCAAGTCCTGTCTCGGAGGAGAGCTGCTCTCTCACATGGCGGGCTGGTTTTGGCGACGTTTTGTATGCGTTCTTCAAGGTTTCCAGCTGCTTCGCTGTAATTGTAGTGCGAGGTCTTTTTGCTCCAGCCTCTGCGTCAGCGTCTGCATTAGAAAACATTACTTATTGTTACCACATTTAATATTACAGACTAAGGTGTAGAGTGAAGCTGTATTGCCCCTGAAGTAAAACCCACCCTCCTGTAGCATATTGGTTAGAGCACTCGCCTCGAAAGCGACAGGTCCCGGGTTCGAATCCCGGGCAGGGTGAAACCTTAGGCAAGTTTTCTTGCTCCACACGCCCCTGTTTACCTAATATAATAATAATCCTTGCGTTTGATATAGCACCTTCTCATGTCTTCGAGTCATCTCAAAGCGCTTCACAGAATATGCTGTAAAGTGGATCGACTATATTTTGTGGGCGAAACACGGCAGCCAATTGCGCACAGCAGTCCCCCAAATAGTTGTGGATTGAAGTGACCAATTTATTATTTTTTTAAGGAATTATTACCCCCGGAGAAGCGATTCGCCAGTCGACTAACAACTGGGTTCCTACTTACTGCTAGGTAAACAGAGGAGTGTGGAATAAGGAAAGTTGCCCAACATTTCGCCCTGCCGGGAATCAAACCCAGGTCTCTCGCTTGCGAGGCGAGTGGTCTAACCACTGAGCTACAGGACTCCACTTAGCAGTGAATAGGAACCTGGTTGTTAGTCGATGGCACTCTCACCTCTGAGTCAGAAGGTTGTGGGTTCAAAACCCCATATTAGGACTTTGAACTCACAGTCCAGATTGACACTCCAATGCAGCGTTAGGAGAGCACTGCATTGTCGGCAATGACATCTTTCAGATGAAGCATTACATTAAACCAAACTCCTGTCTAACTACTCAGGTAAACTCTAAAGATCCAAAGACACTATTCAAAAACACTATCGAGTTTCCAGCAATTCCCCAGGTAAAATTGATCATTACCTCTTGGCTCCGTGTGGGACATTGCCGCATGCAAACTGGATGCGACGTTCATCTATTAATACAGAGTCACTCTTTACAGTAAATCCTGTGAAGCTCTTTGAGACTTCTTGACAACGTGATAAGGTGCTTACATTAAATGCAAGGATTATTGTTATATGTAATTGGCAGTGTCTTTGTCCTGGCTCTTTCTACTGACAAACCTCCAGCAGATGAAGCACTCCTTTAAGAATTATTACGGTGACACATCTGCCCTAGTTTCTAACTGCCCCAAATCCTGCTATTCTGTTACGGTCAAGAAGTTAATTCATTTTGCCTTTGATGTTCAGGGTTACTTGGCCACCATAAACTGGGCTTCCACCCCATCTGATTGATTAGTGTAGGTGATGTAATGCGCAGTTATATTTGTGTTGTGATATTACTCAATGCCTAAGCTCCGGGGACCTATTACTAACAATCTGCACAGCAGGTTATTAGTAATTGTCATTAATCTCATTAATATTAGTCAATCAATGGGGTGCATGTCAGCCGGAGATACTCAGTTTGAAGATTTCACAGTTGAGGCAGCTACTGAAAATATCACCATTGCGTTTGAATGAAAAATACAATGAACAACAATAATAATCCTTGTATTTGATATAGCGCCTTATCACGTCGTTGAGATATCTCAAAGCATTTCGCGGAATATACTGTAAAGTGAATTGACTGTATCATTTGTGGGCGAAACACGGCATCCAATGATGCACATTAGCAGGGTCTGTCCCACAAACAGTCATGGATTGAGTGACCAAATTACCATTTTTAATGAAATGTTTCTTGTTTTTGAAGAGATTATTACCCCTGGAAAGCGATCTGCCAATTGACTAACACCTGGGTTCCAATTTACTGCTCCGTAAACAGAGGTGTGTGGAGTAAACAAACTTGCCTAAGATTTCGTCCTCCCTGGGAATCGAAAAAGGTGTCTTCTCCCTTCCGAGGCGAGCGCTCTAACTTACACAGGACTCCACAAAGTTAGGAGACATTGTGCTGCCCGTGATGAGAATGTGTTAGGTGTGGTGCCTACCGTTCTGCTTGGCGGTCTCATAATCCTCCTTGCACACCAGCCGGCTGTCCTCCATCAGGTAGAACTCATCGCCTGTGGCCAGCTGCCGGTTGCACATGATGCAGGCGAAGCAGTGGAGATGGTAGACAAAGTCCTGGGCTTTCCTCACCACCTGGGTTGGGGGGATGCCCTGCTGACAGGCTGCACATTTTGTTCCGAAACGTCTGTAAATGTAAATGAAAATAAAAAGCAGAGAAAGTAAGCTTAACCAAGCCGATTTTGTATGCATTCAGAACAGTTTGACAGTTGAGGAGCCTGACACTGAATCAAAGGGAGAAGGTGCAACCTGAAGATGGGGAAGGAGGGGGCAAGGCAGAGAGATTGAGGAAGAGTGTTCCAGAGTTTTGGGGTGTACTGGCTCAAAGCATGGCCGCTGATGGCGGAACGCTGACGAACAATCATTAATACTTTATTGCTAAAATGTTTACCCATCGACAGAAATTGTTTGAAGTCTTAATACCGGACAATATCTCCCTTCTTTTGTGGCTGACACAAACTTGCTATTTTTGACACTGACCATGATTTGGACCTAAATGGGTGGTATCGCACACACTGCTTACTGCAATAACGATCATTTCAGCCTTGCATTTAATACAGCGCCTTATCATGTCGAAACATCTCACAGAGGTTTCTGTAAATTGTAGTGCATTGGAGGACAGACATAGCAGGTAGCTTGCACAGAGCAGTGTCCCACAAACAACCATGAAGTGAATGACCATTTTTCTATAGGCGATTTTTGGCCAGGCACTGGGAGAAACTACCTTCCCTTTTTGAACATGGGATGTTTAACATTCATCTGAACAAGCTGATGGGAGCTGAGTTTAATATCTCATCGGAATTAAATCCACACCCTCTGTTCTCTGTTCACCCTCCCTCTTCTGTGTTACCATGTTTGGACTCTCCACCCTATGTACCAGAAATTTTGAATAATAATAATCCTTACATTTAGTATTTGCCCCGGGATCCGTTACTGTGAAGCGCTCTGAGACGCTGTCCGGCGTGGAGGGCGCTATGTAAATCCAAGTTGTTGTTGTTGGTACAGCACCTTATCACGTCGTTGAGACGTCTCAAAGCACGGAATATACTGTACACTGAATTGACTGGGTATTTCGTGGGTGAAACACAGCAGCCAATTGCGCAAAGCAGTGTATCCCACATACAGTCATAGATTGAGTGACCAAATTTTTATTTTTTTAACTACAGTTAACATTAGGGCCATGCTTTGGATAGCCGTTTTCTTTTCCCTTTTCACATCTTTTATAGATTCTTGTTACATTCTCGGGCAGGGACGACAAAACTATCCAGGAACAGGTGAGGTGTCCGTGTTCATTTTTTACTTGCAAGTACACCTTAGTGCAGACTGACTGTTTTACAGATGTCACTTTGTAAGAATGATAATAATAAACCTTGCATTTGATATAACACTTTTCACGTCTTCTAGACGTCTCCTAGCACTTCACAGAATATACTGTAAAGTGAATTGACTATATATTTGTGGGCGAAACTTGATAGCCAATTGTCCCACTAGCAGTCGTGGATTGAAGTGACCAATTTATTATTGTGTTTTTTTCTTGAGGGATTATTATCAGGCGTGTGGAGTAAGGAAACTTGCCCAAGGTTTCGCCCTGCCGGGAATCAAACTCGGGTCTCTCGCTCAATTTCAATAGTAATGAATGAGTTATTTTTTGCCTTGTGGAGGCCAAAAAACAGGTTAGATAACTTCCCTTTTAAATTCCAGACAACCAGCTATTCGCCTGTGACTATCTAATTGGATATACAGCTCTAAACCGTCTAATCAGATGACCAGATTCTCCCAAGCGTGTTACTAGTTAAGTGGTTACTGGAAATAGATTAAAGGCTGACAATCTTTTAATGTGTTTTACTGTTTTCCCTTATAATAATTCTATCTTCAATCCTATTCAGAATTGTGGAGTTGGAATTCTCCTGGACTATTGAGATCCCAGTACAACACTGGAGCTTTGGGGCACTTGATTAATGACTTACTTAGCATAACTCCGGGATCTGAGTGTGTTTAAAGTGTAATTCTATTCTAATTGTACACACACCTTGTGTAGCTATACATCTGGAACGTGTAGGTGGGCTGTTATGCCCCAAAGGGACAAAGAGGGAGAGAACAGTTTGCAGCTGTTTCAGGAAAGAAGGGGGGCGGGAGGAGGAGGAAGTTTGCTTAATACAACATGTCATTCCAGCGGGAAAAGTGTGAGATAATTCCATCATTAGTTTGACTTAAAAAGTCCTCCGCAGGCACCACCTGTGTGCTTCAGTAGTTGATTCATCGAGTGCTCAATAGTGTCTCTTCTCCGAACACAGTGCCATTGAATCAGGGATCCCTTAACAGTGTTTTCATTTCAAACAGTGATGCAGAGTCCTGTAGTGTAGTGGTCAACGCACTTGTCTCTCAGGCGAGAGGACCCAGATTCAAATCCCGGGCGGCGTGAAACCTTAGGCAAGTTTCCTTACTTCACACGCCTCTGTTTATTTAGCAGCAAATAGGAACCCAGCTGTTAGTTGATTGGTGGATCGCTTTTCGGGGGTAATAATCCCTCAAAATAAAAAATATGCTCACTCTATCCATGACTGTTTGTGGGACATTGTTGTGCACAATTAGTTGCCATGTTTTGTCCACCAACGATAAAGTCAATTCACTTTACAATATATTATTATATATATATTCAATATATTTGTGGAGTCCTGTAGCTCAGTGGTTAGAGCATTCGCTTTGCAAGTGAGAGACCTGAATTCAATTCCAGGCAGGGCGAAACCTTGGGCAAGTTTCCTTACTCCACACGCCTAATAATAATCCCTCCAAAAACCCAAAACAATAATAAGTTGGTCATTTTCAATCTACGACTGTTTGTGGGACATTGCTGTGTGCAATTGGCTGCCGCGTTCGCCCACAAATATACAGTCAATTCACTTTACAGTGTGTTCTGTGAAGCGCTTTGGGACGTCCTCCCGACATGAAAAGCGCTATATCAAATGCAAGGATTATTATTATTATTATTCTGTGAAGCGCTTTGAGACGACTCAACGACCCTTTGGCCCGCTTGATCTCATTCTTCCAGAACACCCACTTTACCATCCTTCCATCCCAGCATCGAGCTATTTATTAAATAAGGCTTCCATCACCCTTCCTGATCATTTACTCTCGCCGTTAATTGCCTGTCAGTGTAAAGAAATACTTCCTGGTGTCTGTGCTGAAATTGTGGTTCACATCTCCGAACCTTGTACCCTCTTGTTCTGCTATCTTGGTGCATCTTAACGTATTGTTCTGGATTCACTTTCTCAATTCAGTTTTATGTGTGACATTCCCTCCGTTTCCTCCCCTCCTCGAATCCTCTTATTTGATTCTAATGGAGTAGACTGTAACTTTTATCAAAGGGGGAGTTACCTGATCAGTGAACTAAACCACTGTTAGGTGCCAGTGGAGGCTGAAGAGCTATCATTGAATGTAGCAGGTCAGTTCCCGCTCAGCGCTAGATGTGCTTGGCTGCCTGCCACCCACAAATATGTGTACTCATCACATTATCTTTTCAAAGTTTGAAAGATGCTTATAATATTCCTAAGTGAACAGCTCACGGTTGATTGCTCAGAAGACTATTGATAAAGAAGGGCCTCTCACGTGTCTTGGCACCGTCAAGCTGCATGCAGCAGCTGAAAAGAAATCTGTTCAAGTGACCACGAATGCTGGGACCTGGGTCAAAGTCCAGACTTTCACTTTACTGCAGTGCTAGAGGGGAGAGCTGCATTGACGGAAGTGACTATCCTTGGAACGAGATGTTCCATATCAACCTGTCCGCTCCCTCCATTCAGCGGGACTCTGGCTTGCTCCACATTCCCCACCCTGTCGGCCCCCACCATCGATGGTCAGACTTTCAGCCCTTCTGTCCCGACCTTGGGGACTCCATCCCACTGTCCTTTGCCTCACCCCCTCCATTGCCTCCTTCAAGGCCGGTCTCAAGACCTTCATCTTTGACAGCCCTCCTACCCCCATCCTCCTTGAACTCCACCCCTTCTGATCCCAAACTCCAGCTCGGGTGCAAACCCTTCACTGTCCAAAGCCTTGGAAAGTCCTCCTGATGTGAAAAGCACTATACAAATGTCATTTATTGTTGTTTTTCACTTCATGAGTATCTACAAAATCATGCTGCTAGCAAATTAACCGTTGGGTTTGCCCACAAATTGTCACTTTCAGACATTTCGATGTTGTAGAGCCAATACCAAAGGCAACTGTTATTTATTTGATTATATTTTCTGATTTTGCTTGTTCTGTTTCAAAATCATTTGGCTCAAAACTTGAAATACCACTAACGTTCTGGTCAGGTCCCAATTTTAAAACAAATTGGTACCTCAATCCATGACTGTTTGTGGGACACTTCGCAATGAGCTACTGCGTTTTGCCCATAAATTACTCAGTCAATCCACTTTACAATATATATTCCGTGAAATGCTTTGAGACGTCTCAATGATTTGATAAGACACAATATCAAATGCAAATATTATTATTATTATCCCTTTCTCACCTATGGCTGGGTCAGCGCAGCACTGAGCTACACAGCCTTGACGATCGCAGTTCAAATCCTGGGCTGTGCTGATCTTGTTAAATTATTCCACTAAATATATCCTAAGTTGAATCTTGCCAAGGTCCTCCTGATTTCTGTTAATTTGGGACGTTACTCCCTGAAGCAGTACATTTGAAGGAGAGGAACAATAATGTGCCCCCACGTAACAAAATTAAGGTGGATATTAAAGATAGCCTTTTTTTTTAACCCCACCACAAATTGGTCGCTCACTGCATGGCTGTTTGTGGGACACTGCGGTAATCAACTGGCTGCTGTGTTTCGCCCACAAAACACACAGTCAGTCTACTTTACAGTATATCCTGTGATTTGCTTTGAGATATCTCAACAGTGTGATAAGGCATTATATCAAATGTTTTTATTATTAGTTTGCATCTCTCAGACATCTGCTAACAGTACTTTTCAACCAGCTTGATTCTCAGTGTCAACAACAATAACTTGCATTTATACAGCACCTTTCACACAGGGTAGTATCTCAGCGCTTCATTTGCAGACAAATCAGAACAATATAGCAACAATATTTGGGGCAGAGACAGCCTATGACATGATCTTATCATTCAACG